AAGATATAAATATCAATAATTCGTGACAGACTGGTCCAACCAAAAGAATCATTTTCTTAATTAAATAATTATTTAGTTAAATAAAAGTGTGTTGCCATTTAATTATTTATATTGAGGTACTTTAAACTTTATATTAGTGAAACGTAACTGGGTAAATACTATATAATTTATTCTATTTTATTTATTTTTGGTCATATCATGTATATGTATGTATATCATTTGGCTACTCATGTATTTATAATAATTTAAAAATTTCATTTCAGAGATGAAAAAAGACGTATTAGATGATATTGAAATGGATAAATCTAAAGTTTATTCTTATAATTATGAGAAAAAAAAACCCAGCACAGGGGGGTCGCGGCACAGTGGTGACGTGGCATAGATGGATCAAGTATAATGATATCTGACAGTGATTAAAATCACTATAAAAAAAAAACGCTTCGATGCAAATCTTTAGATAGTGTTTAATTTTAAATTCTCAGCTTCGCATCGAAGCNATGCAAATCTTTAGATAGTGTTTAATTTTAAAAAATTGGTGGATTATTCCAAAAGCTACATGATCTGCTAGTTCATTATTAATATCCTAATTAAGATAAAGTATGTCGAATGAAAAAGGGATTATTAAAAAATATTATTTCTTATAAAAAAATAATGTTGATCCATACACTTTTAAATATGTCATAGCATTATAAAGTTAAAAATGTAAAAAATAAAATCGAGAATTTTCACACAAAAATAGCATTTGGTAGCCATTTTCACCGTGAAGATAAAATAAAGTCCGAAATTTTTTTTCGCATAATAAAGTAGATTACATTAACTTTAATTTAATATATAAATAAAAGTGTCAGACTTTCCGGAACAGTTTCAAAATTTAAGTTGAAAAAGTTTTACTTTTTACATGCATTTTTTAGATTTGAACCCCCCTCATATATAGGGAAATGGTCCGATTTAAAAAAAAAGTATGTCGAATGAAAATAGTACTTCTCATGAAAAAATTGTATTAATCATACATTTTTTAAAAAGTTATAGCATTTTAAAATAAAAATGTAAAATATAAAATCAAGAATTTTCACACAAAAATAATATTCGGTAGTCATTTTCACCATGAAGATAAGATAAAGTCCGAAATTTTTTTTTACCATAATAAAGTATATTACATTAGCTTTAATTTAAGATATATATAAAAGTGTCATACCTCCGGAACATTTTCAAAAGTTAAGTTGAAAAAGTTAATTTTTTGTGAAAAAGTTGTCATTTTAAATCCCCCCTTGTGGGCAGATTAAGGGTTAAATTTATGAAAAAATATACCAAATGATAAGTAAAGACATCAAGCATCTATATAAAAAAAATTTATAATGATATGTTCATTTTTGAAAAAGTTACGGCAGTTTTTAGTAAAAAAATTTCGAAAATTAGCGATTTTTAAATTCGTAATTTTTTCGAGGTTTCCCCCATTTACGGGGAACGAGGGAAATTTTTTCAATTTTTGAGGGTAATGTCTTCGACTAGATACAATTTGTGATCTTTTGACGTATCATTGAAAGAAATCGGTTGGGTGAGAGCTGAGAAAAAGTGTAACAGACACAAAAAAAAAAACGGTAGCACAGTGGGGTCGAGGCACAGTGTGGACGAGGCATAGATGGGACAAGTATAGATGATATCTGACAGTGATTAAAATCACTATCATAAGAAACGCTTCGATGCAAATCTGTAGATAGTGTTTCCTTTAGAGAAATTGGTGAAATATTTTAAAAGCAACATGAACTCTTATTTCTTTAATTATATCCTGATTAGTAGTTCTTTGATTTTAAAATATAATATATGAATAAATACTAATTATAGTTTTTAAATTTAGTATGAAATTGTGAGGCCAGCTATGATGTATGGTTCATAGTGTTGGGCGGTTGATAAGAAAGTAGAGCAGAGAATAAGTGTAGCAGAGATGAGAATGCTTAGTTGGATGAGTGGAGTGACTAGAGAAGATAGGATAAGGAACGAGCATATAAGAGGAAGTATAGGTGTTGCGTCAATCGTGGATAAGATGACAGAAAATAGACTTAGATTGTTTAGTCATGGTATGAGGAAAGAAGAATCGAAAGCTGTAAGAACAGTTATAGAAATGAATGTTGAAGGAAGAAGAGATAGAGGAAGACCAAAAAAGAGATGGAGGGATGCTATTGAATGCGATTTGAGGACAGCTGATGTGAGCGTAGAAGATGTGGGAGATCGTGTCAAGTGGAAGCTTAGGATAAGGGTGGCCGACCCCAAGTAGTTGGGATTAAGGCAAAGAAAAAGAAAAATATTACCAGATATTCCGGTGGCAATTGACATAATATGATTGTTATTTCGGAATGTACAATTTAGCGTTTAGTTGGGTTTAAATAATATAGCGTCAAATCAATTACCTACTCTATCGGTTGTATCTCAATATACACTACACTTTAATGATACAATAAATAAATAAACTCACACATACACACATATGCATTTATAACATTGTGTCTAATGTAAGTATAACATGATAAAAAGTAACCGTAAAATGAAAAAAATGGAATATAAATTTTATTACTCATATTAAATGTAATGTAACTCGAAAAATATTTGTTTAAATGAAAAAATATAAGATTATATTTTTATTTATAATTGTCTTTTAAACAACTTTTGTGCGAAACTTTTTTTTGTAAGTTAAATATTTTTTTTTGAGAAAATTAAGAAAGCTCATATTTTTGAACTTTTGCGAGGATTTAAAAAAAAAGCTCAATTCCAATCTTGAGGACTATTAGTATGTCATTATACATATTTTAATTCAACTTTTAAAAAAACAAAATTTTTTCCGCAATTTTTCCTTTGTTGACAGGCCTAGATGTCAATTTTAAACTTGTAATTGAGCTAAAAGTTATGGTAATATATTCAATTTATTTTACTATAAACTTTCATAAATCTTTATCAAAAATTTTTCATCAACTTTAAAGAACCAAAAAAATAGGTTAAAATTGAAAATTTGGACTGATTATTTTTAACATATTAAAAATCAAATCAGTAATAATTTGAAAACAAATTTTTTTTTCTTTTAATTATTATTTTATATATATAATTAGTAATAATATAAAAAATTAGAAGTGATAGAAATAGTCTACTTGCAGATTTGAAAACAACGCGAAAATTTGATTTAGAAAAGTATATTTTTGCTTCTGATGAAAGTTCCTTGTAGTCCAGTGCATTTTTTTATAGTAACAAACAGTTTTTATTGAAAATTATTGTATCAAGCCCTTTAAATTTTTATACACGTAAAAGTAAAGCAAAATATAACTTCTTTATTATTTTTATAATTTCTCCGTTTAAATTACAATATTAAATATCAATTTCATACTAAATTTAATAATTATAATTAGTATATATTCATATATTATATTTTAAAATCAAAGAACTACTAATCATGATATAATTAAAGAAATAAGAGTTGATGTTGCTTTTGGAATAATCCACCAATTGCCTAATTAAAACAAAAAAAAAAAAAGTTTGTTGGGAATTTTTTCTGCTATTCTGCAAAATTACTCCTTCGTTGACTAGAATGAATCATTAAATAGAAAATTTTATGAGAATTAAAACAATGTTATTTTTAAGATTAATATGCAGTCAGAAAGTTTTATAATTATTATTTATTGTAAATTTATCAGAAAAACTCATTATTTTTTGCATTTTTATCGTAATAGAACACTTAAATAGAAATCATAGTAATCATTTCTAAGTAATTTTTGATATTTAAAAAGATTCTACTATTGAAATATCCAGAACTGAATTAATTTTAATGATTTACTTTAACTAAAAAAAAAAAAGTTAATATTTTGAATCCCTCTTGTGGGCAGGTAAAGGGTTAGATTTATAAAAAAAACCAAATGATAGATAAAGACATGCATCTAAATAAAAAAAAATATACTGATTTGGTCATTTTTGATAAAGTTATAACAATTAACAAAGTTATAAGTTTTATACACTGGACTACAAGGAACTTCCATCAGAAACAAAAATATACTATTCTAAATCAACTTTTCGCGATGTTTTAAAATGTGCAATTAGACTTTTTCTATAACTTCTAAGTTTTAATATTATTAAAAAATAGTTTTTACATATAAAAAAAAATAATTAAGAACAAAAAAAATTGTTTTAAATTAATACTGATTTGATATAATATTTAATATTAATTTGATTATTAATAAGTTAAAAATAAGGAAAATGACATATTTAACCTATTTTGTTAATCGTTTAAAGTTGATTGTTGTAAATGTTTATAATAAAAAAAAAAAATTTATTTTACCATAACTTTTAGCTCAATTGGTAAGTTTGACATTGACATAATTAAATAGAAAATTTTATGACAATTAAAAAAATTGTATCGTTAAGATCAATATGCAGTCAGAAAGTTTTATAATTACTATTTATTGTAAATTTATCAGAAAAGCTCAATATTTTTTTGCATTTTTATGGTAATAGATAACTTAAATAGAAGTAATAGTAATAATTTCCTAGGAACTTTTGTTGTTTGTTGAAAAGATTCTATAATTGAAATATTGAGAACTTAATTAATTTTAATGATTTACTTTAACTAAATGTACCAATCAAAACAAAGTTGTTAAAAAGATTTACTCAATTGAGTGTATTATAAAATTTGATTATATTTGTAAAAATCAATTGTTAATTCAGGAGAAAAAACAATCATTTTTTTTAGAAATGATTTATATAGCAACATGTTACAAAAAAAAATTGTAATATTATAGTCTAGTAGTAGCACACACAAATAGAGTAAAAAAATTATTAAATTACAAAGTAAAATGATTTAATTTTGTAGTTGAAACCTATCATATCAAACTTCATTCGTTAATAAATATTTTGAAAACATTAGAAATTAATGATTTTAATTGTCTTTATGGAGACGATGTAATAACTAACTGTTTAATTGATAAATTAGAATTTTTTTTTCAATTTTTGAGAGTAATATCTTCAACTAGATACGAATTGTAGTAATTTGACGTATTGTTGAAAAAAGTAGGTCAAGTTAGAGCAGAGAAAATAAATGATAGTCACAAAAAAATATCTTCTCGGCTTTGCATCGAAGCGAAAACTTAAAATATAGTAAAATAATTTTAATACGAATAAGAAATTTCTTCTTGCAAGGGGCGACTAAAGTGATGGGATCCTTGATCTTTATTGAAGTTATTGAATCTAAATGTGATAAAAATCAAACGAGTTAAAATTTATACTAACTTAAAAAGAATTAAGAAAAAATGCAAAAAATTCATTGCCATATGCGGGTTGGAACCTCGTACCCCAAGCGTGTAAAACATAAATTTTACCAACTCGGCAACCGTACGTTGCTTCCGGCGGTTGAAAAATTGGCTATTTAAGCTAGTTCAAATTTCAAAGTTATTTTTCTCGACTTAAAAGAAACAAACATATTTAAATAAGTTTAACTATCTATACTATATCAATTTTAATTTATATAATATTTATGAAAATCTGTACTCCCCTTGTCAGGTATTTTAAAATAAAATAAAATACAAAACCCAGAATTTTAACACAAAAATAGCATATTTTTGCATACGGTAGTCATTTTTACCATGAAGACAAATCCAGAGGTCAAATTTTTTTTTTTCACATTAAAGTATATTACATAAGCTTTAATTTAAGATATATTTAAAAGTGTCAGTATTTCCGGAATACTTTCAAAAATTAAATTGAAAATATCGTAGTAACAATACGCATGTTTAAAGTTTTGACCCCCCTTGTTAAAGGGGTATGATCCGATTTACAAAAAAAGCGTGCCAGATGAAAGGGGTATATCAATATTTATTATAAAAAAATAATAATATAGATCCATACATTTTTCCAAAAGTTATATAAAATATAAATTAAATAATATAACATATAAAATCGAGATTTTTTTCACGGAAATCGTACGTTTTTCTTTAACTTTGATGTCCGTTTTCACCACGAAGACAAGTCCAGAGGTCAAATTTTTTTTTTTCAAATTAAAGTATATTACATAAGCTTTAATTTAAGATATATATAAAAGTGTCAGTCTTTCCGGAACATTTTCAAAAGTTAAGTTGAAAAAGTTCTACTTTCTATACGCATTTTAAAAGGTTTGCACCCCCCCTGTATAAAGGGAAATGGTCCGATTTTAAAAAAAAGTATGTCGAATGAAAGAAGTATATATAAAGTATTTATCATTAAAGAATAAAGTTGATTCATGCATTTTTTAAAAAGTTATAGCAACATAATGTTAAAAAATGTAAAATATAATATCAAGAATTTTTTCACAAAAATAGCATATTTTTGCATACGGTAGTCATTTTCACCATGAAGACAAGTCCAGAGGTCAAATTTTTTTTTTTCAAATTAAAGTATATTACATTAGCTTTAATTTAAGGTATATATAAAATTGTCAGTCTTTCCGGAACATTTTCAAAAGTTAAGTTGAAAAAGTTAATTTTTTGTAAAAAAGTTACCATTTTGAAACCCCATCCTTTGGGCTGTTAAAGGGTCAAATGTTCACAAAAATATATAAAATGATAGGTAATTATCTAAGGTATCTATAAAAAAAAAAATTATATTGATTCGGTCATTTTTAAAAAAGTTATGGCAATTTTAAGTAAAAAAAATTGAAAAAATATCGAAAATTAGCGATTTTTAAATTTGTAATTTTTTGGGGGATTTCCCCCGTTTACGGGGAACGAGGGAATTTTTTTCAATTTTTGAGGGTAATGTCTTCGACTAGATACGATTTGTGATCTTTTGACATATTGTTCATCAAAATCGGTCCAGCGAGAGCTGAGATTGAGCGTTCACAGACACAAAAAAAAAAATAAAAAAAAAAAAAAAAAAATAAAAAAACACATCATAGTAAAATTAATACCTTCTCAGCTTCGCATCGAAGCTAAAAAACACATCTTAGTAAAACCAATACCTTCTCAGCTTCGCATCGAAGCTAAAAATGGGTGCGTAAATACAAATATATTCCTACTTATTGTTTATAAAAATATAGTATAATTTCATTGATAATATTTGTTTGAAATGTTTAAATTGAATATTAAAATATTTAGATATTTTAGCTTTGATGCGAAGCTGAGAAGGTATTGGTTTTACTAAGATGTGATTTTTTTTTATTTTTTTTTGCGTCTGTTACCACTTTTTCTCAGCTCTCACCGAACGGATTTCTTTCAACGATACGTCAAAAGATCACAAATCGTATCTAGTCGAAGACATTACCCTTCAAAATTGAAAAAATTTCCCTCGTTCCCCGTAAATGGGGGAAACCTCCAAAAACCAAAAAAATTAAAAAATCGCTAATTTTCGAAATTTTTTCAATTTTTTTTACTAAAAACTGCCGTAACTTTTTCAAAAATGAACATATCAATATAAATTTTTTATAGATGCTTGATGTATTTACTTATCATTTGGTATATTTTTTTTGTAAATCTGACACTTAACCTGCCCACGGGGGGGGATTTAAAATGACAACTTTTTCACAAAAAATTTACTTTTTCAACATAATTTTTGAAAATGTTCCGGAAGGTCTGACACTTTTATATATATATTAAATTAAAGCTAATGTAATGTGCTTTAATTTGAAAAAAAAAAATTCGACCTCTGGACTTGTCTTCACGGCGAAAATGGCTACCAAATTCTAATTTTGTGTGAAAATTCTCGATTTTATTTTTTACATTTTTAACTTTATAATGCTATAACTTATTGAAAAGTGTATGGATCCACACAATTTTTTTATGAGAAATAATATTTTTTAATAAACCCTTTTTCATTCGACATACTTTATCTTAATCGAGATATTAATAAGGAACCAGCAGATCAAGTAGCTTTTGGAATAAAACACCAATTTTTTTAAAATTAAACACTATCTAAAGATTTGCATCGAAGCGTTTATTTTTGATAGTGATTTTAATCACTGTCAGATATCATTATACTTGATCCAACTATATTACGTCACAACTGTGCCGCGACCCCCCTGTGCTGGGTTTTTTTTTTTTTATTTATTGTTACGTAATTATAATTAATACAGTAATTTTTTAAAAATAGAAGTCTAGAATAGAAAACTAGCGAAAATAAGTGACAATTCTATGTTATTTAATGCTTAATTAATTTAAATTGATTTACATAAATTTTTTTTGATTTGTAATATTCAGAAAAAATATGTATCGTATTAATTGTGGTATCTTATCATAATTCTATGTATAAGTGTCGATAGAAATACATAATCAAACATATTATGATTCTAAAAACAGAATTCTAAAATATATTTTTAGATATCTAGCAAAATAAAGTTGACAATTCTTTGTTATTTAATGATTAATTAACTTTACTTAAAACTCCCTTTTCATACTAGTACACCTACATTGATGTTATTTTTTTAACTCAATCTTATGGTTTAAGGCTTTCATTCATTATAAATTGTATCACGATAATTTTAAAACTTTCCCTTGGCAAAATTCATCTTTACATCATAATTAGTTTTAGGAGTAATAACTAATTTTTATATATAAATATGTTTTATTTCTCAATTTTAGTGCTTGTGCTTGCCATAATATTTTAATTACATATAAAATTACACATATATGAACTAAATAATAAAAAAAATATTCACATCAGAGTGGAATTATTTTAATTATCACAAATATACACAATTTGAAAACAATTATTCAAAAAATATGAACTTAACAAAACACTTATAAAATATTTATAAAAGTGCGGCGATATTATCACGAAGAATTATGTTGACGGTTTAAAATGACAATTTGTACTGTCATACTGCAAATCAATGGCTAACATCAGTGTATTATCGTCGATAATGAGAGCTCATGAAATCGTGATATCAAAGTTATTTATAAACAAATAATAAAGCTCTGTGCGACTTCTAAACATCAACAAAATTAGATAAAATTTTCAGAACATGTATATTTTACCCAAATAAATATTTTAGAAGGGTGGGACAAGAGAAAAATTTAAATAAAATTTTTGTCATATAAAATGTTGTCACCCTAATACTTATAATAATAATTTCTTTGTAAAATGGTGTTAAATGGGGCGCTTACCCCCTCCTCTATCATAGAACTATACCTTTTGAACTAAAATAAACACAGAATAGACGTTGATTCCTATAAGAAAATTACTTTTTTTTTTTTTTTTAATTCGAGGCTGTTTAAATATAAAAGATAAATCATCAGGACTAAATTGATTTTTTTTCAACTTATAGTACCTAACAGTAGCTTTATTTTAACATATGTTTAGAAAAATATTATTTCAAATGCTTGTGTATCAATGTTCTTAATAAAAGTTTGTCTTTATGGAATATGAAGGATCAATACGTGAGTAATTATTCACATTTTTTACATGTTTTATGTTATCTTGTGTGTTCATAGTAATTGTTTAAAGGTCAGAAAAGGATATTTTTAAATTCAAATACTCAATTAAGAGAATGTGATTTCTTAAAAATCAAAATAATCATTTTATCATTACATTACATTGTTCAATTTCGTTAATAAACGTCTAATTAATACTATATTATACTGTTGTAGTGGTCTGGTTTTATATATATTTTTTAAATACAATTAGATAATAATTTTTATACTATCAGGCAAATAATTTATTATTGATAGCAACCACAAAGCAAGGAAAAAAGGATTTATTACAATATAATTCTTATTTTTAGTAAATGAATGCATTTATAAAATATAAATTTTTTATTAGAGTTAAAACATCGTTATGAGCAATGTCAAATAAATTATTGAAGTCATTGACAAATACAGACTCAATCTCCTTTTGATAAGGAGTTTTTGTCAAAGAACTTTTTTTTAAATTCAGCCATTTACTATGAATTTTTTTATTTTGTCAATAAAAATTATTTTGTCTAAAACTATAAGTTACGTAAAGGATCGAGGAGTTTGGCTAGTTGGAGGTACACTCGAATCAATTACTGGTTGCAAACTACCATCTAACAAGCAAGTATTTTGTCATTTTTTTCATTTGCATTTACATGAAAAAAAACTATTCAAATTAGTGCTACCATCACAACAAGAGAAATATGTACATTTTGGGCCAAATCTAAAATTCCTACTCAAAAGGAATGTCTTATAATTGACAAAATAAAAAAATTCATAGTAAATGGCTGAATTTAAAAAAAGTTCTTTGACAAAAATTCCTCATCAAGAGGAGATTGAGTCTGTATTTGTCAACAACTTCAATAATTTATTTGACATTGCTTATAACGATGGTTTAACTCTTATAACTATTGAAGAGGATAAACAGTTTTTCCTGGCTCAGAGAAAAAAAGGAAGACGTGGTTGCATGAGTTCCGTTGACACGAAACTTTTAAAAAAAGAAGATAAAAAAAATGAGTGACAGTAACAAATTGTAACCAGGGAACTAAAAAAGATAGAACAATTGAAAGGAGAAGCAAAATCTAATGATTTAAATACTGAAAGAACAGAATCTAGTAGCAGCAGTGAAAGTGACGATGATTTATATGTACCTAACAACAAAAGGTTAAAGCAAAATATTTCTACTGAACTTATTAATGCTTTAAAAACTTCTAGTATTGTCACTACTGAAGTAGCATCTGCTTTAGATAGAATCAAAGTAAATGACAGAAACGCTATGTATGTTTTGTCAGTTACCGTGCAATTATTAGGTTACAATGTACAAGACTTTACTGTTAATTGAGAGTCAATAAGACAAGCTCGTCGAAAAAATCGTCAAAATATCGCAAATGAACTAAAATCTTCATTTTTACCGACCACTCCGTTGACAATACATTGGGATGGAAAACTACTACCTTCTTTAACATCAAAAGATAAAGTTGATCGACTTGTTGTAATAGTTTCAGGTGACGGTGTTATGAAATTACTCGGTGTGCCAAAAATTTCAAATGGAACTGGAGAAGCTCAATCTACTTCAGTTTTTGAGTTAATAGAAGAATGGAATTTGACTGAACGAATTCATTCCATGTCTTTAACAAAAAAAAATACGCAAGTGGAATTATGAATGATAAAGTTACTAAACATTTCAAACCAATAAAAAAGTTCCTAGTTGAATTTATTAATGATCAGTTGACAAAATATCAGCCTAGAGACGATTACAAAGAACTATTACAACTTTCTCTTTTATTTTTAGGAGTTAATATTTCCAAAAACGTTAATATATAGGCACCTGGAGCTCTATATAAAGCTAGATGGATGGCTAAGATTTTCTATAGTATTAAAATCTACTTATTGAGATCACAAATCAAATTAACTGCACAGAACTATCGTCACTACAAGTTTTCAATATTTTTGTACTACAAGTTTACATAAATTTTTGGTACACTGGTCCTTGTGGGGAATCAGCTCCTTTCAACGATTTAAATCTATTGAAGGAGCTTAATTTATATAAAAATACTCATGAAATTATAGCTGATGCTGCTATTAAAAGTTTCTCTAGGCATTTATGGTATTTAAGTGACACTCTCGTGGGACTGGCTTTTTTTGATAGAAAAGTGCCAACTAAAATGAAAATAAAAATGGTGAAATCATTGGAAAACAAGGGAGCCGTCAACCCACAACGACGTATTAAAATTGAGTTGAATGCAGTTCAAACAATGCAGTTGTGCGACTTTGAAACTAATAATACATTAAAATTATTTACAGCGCTAAATATACCACAAGATTTTATAAGTCAACATCCAAGTACTTGGAAAGAAAACGATAATTACATTAGTGGGCGTAAAAGGATACAAAGTTTAAAAGTACTCTAGGTTTTTTTAATAAAACAATTATTTCCTTTAAGAAAGTTTAAAATGTTTAATAGTTGGTTAACATTTAACAAAATGTGTGTCTTATCCTTAA